CATTCCACTGTTGAGGGGGAGTTGAGAATTTGGCTATCAATATAAAGTTTTATAATTTTCTCCATAAAGGTGATGTACCTCTTTTACTAGATTTTTTCCCCATTACTTCATTTTTTTAATGCTATCATAAACTGTATATCTTTTGAACTTTTTATTTATTTACTTTTAGAATTTAACACATGACTTTTCCTTTTATTCATAAGTTCTGAGCATACATTTTGGTGTCACAAATTGAACCTTTTTTTTTTTTAATTGTTTACTTGTCTGTAGTAGCTCACCTGGTAGAGAATCCACCTGCAATGCAGGAGACCCTGGTTCTGCGTCGATTCCTGGGTCGGGAAGATCCTCTGGAGAAGGAACAGGTTGCCCACTCCCATATTCGTGGGCTTCCCTGGTGGCTCAGACTGTGAAGAATTCACCTGCAATGCAGGAGCCACGTGTTCATCCCTGGGTTGGAAAGATCCCCTGGAGAAGGGAATGGCAAGCTCCTTCAGTATTCTTGCTTGGAGAATTCCATGGATTGAGAAGCCTGGCAGGTTACAGTCCATGGGGTTGCAAAGAGTCAGACATGACTGAGTGACTTTCACTTCACTTCATATAAAAATTCAATCTTTTTTTTCTGCTTAAATTATTATTAATTATTATTGTTTTGGCCACACCCCATAGAATGCAGGATCTTAGATCCCTGATACGGGATCTGACCTGTACCCCCTGCAATGGAAGTGCTGGAGCCCTAACCACTGGACTGCCATGGTATTCTCAATGCTGTTCTTTTTTATCTAAACATATGTCCAAGGTCCCGGAGGATCTGATTCTGCTATTAGTTGTTTCTATGACTTCTTACCTCTGGTGCTTTGTTTTCTTGTGTGTCTTGTGATTTTTTTTTTTTTTTTATATTTATTTATTTGGCTGCATTAGGTCTTTGTTGCAGCATTCAGAATCTTTTGTTTTGGCGCACAGACTCTCTAGTTGTGGCATGTGGGCTCAATGGTTGTGGCATGTGAGGTTAGTTGCTCCGTGGCGCGTGGAGTATTAAGTCCCTAACCAGGGATTGAACCCGCATCCCCTGCATTTCAAGGGGGATTGTTAACCATTAGACTGCCATGGAAGTCCTTTTTTGTGATTTTTGATTATGAGGTCATATTCCTTGAAACTTCGTGGCCTGGGGTGAAGATGGATTCTTAGGCTGAGATTTGCTTTTACTTTGTAAAAGAGGCAGCTTTTGAGATTGGCTTCGGCCTTCAGAGGTATGGGATAGGGATGAATTTCAAATAGTAGAAAGGCTTAATCAGAGTCACTGGTGGGAAGCTCTGTAGGTCTTGTTGAGGAAGAGTTATTTTCTGGAGGATTATGTTTATGAAAGAGGGTAGCAGGAGGATTAGATTGGAAAAGGAACCTTGTAAAATTCCTTGATTACTGTTGTCGCTCAGTCATGTCTGATTCTTTGTGACCCCATGGACTGCAGCACGCCACACCCTGTCCTTCAGCATCTCCTGGACCTTGCTGAAACTCATGCCCATTGAGCCAGTGATGCCATCCAACCATCTCGTCCTCTGTCATCCCCTTCTCCTCCTATGCTGGACTTTAAAACTGAGTTTACAGTCCCCTTGATTACTATGCTAGACTTTAAAATCTTTTCTTTTGTCATTGAGTGTTCTAGAAGAGGGCATTGACTTTTTAAAAGATTTTTGTGACACCATTATGGAAGATGGATTGGAAGAGGGTTAGACTGGATATAAATGGAACTGCTTAGGAGACCAAAAAATAATCCAAATGAGAGTTAATTTATTATGACAACAGATTTTTATTGAGCACTTGCACAGGCTGCATGGGGTCTTAGTTCCCCAACCAGGGATTGAACTTGGGTCATGGCAGTGAAAGCTTGGAATCCTAACCCCTAGGTCACCTGTGAACTCCTCCCCTGTCCTGTTTTCTTAGAATACATACAGACAGACCTGCTTCTGGCCTCCCAGAGTTAAATAAGGAACACAATTTCTATACAGGTTGAATGTGATGACAAGGAAGTACAGGGTTCTCAGGAGAGCACTTCAGAGAGTTACTTAACTGAGACTCTGGGGGTCAAGGACTGCTTTCTGGGGAAATTAACTTTTCAATTGCAACCTAAAGGTTGCATAGAGGATGGGAAGAGGACAGTATTCTAGGCCATAGGAAGTGCAAAGGCCTAAAGATGAAAGAGAATTTCCTTAAGAGAATTGCTAGTAAAGTTGTGCTCAGCAGATTGGTACAGTCGATTCATGAGAAAAATTCAGCCCCACAAACATTCTTGTTTAAATCACAAAGTATTTTTAAGAACTTTATGTTAGTATCCAACCTTTGAAATAAATGGAATTTAATCCAGAAGACCCTGGCATTTAGGCCCAGATTCCCTCACTAGTTTTTATTTATTTGTTTGTTTGAAGCACCAAGTTAACTAAACTGCCTGGCTTTTACAAGTGCTTTGAATTTGGTGTTCCCTAGGCTAGAGCATAAAATATTTTAGGAGGATTCTAGAGTGGTGAGCAGGGATCCAATTATTTTGGTTTTTCAACCCAAACTAAAGAGTTTGAGCTTGATCTTGTGAATAATGAAGCCACTGAAGGGTTTTTAGAGGGGAGTGACGTGATTCAGTTTGAATTTTAGACAGATTACTCTGGCTGTACAATTGAGAATAGATTCACAATTATGAAGGTTAAGGGTGTGATACCAGGTAGAAGATTATTGTCACTATCCAAGCCAAAAATGTGTGACCTGGGGATGGAAGCGGACAGGCTTGACAGAGACGTTGGCAGTAGTTTCAAGAGAAGTTGCATGTAGCAGATGAGGAGTCAAGGGTAATGCTCTGACTTGTCTGGAGCAACTTAGTGGGTGGTGGGGAGAGTGGGAAACCTGGGAAAGAGGAGCATAGGAGAAATAAGATGGTGGCTGCAGTCAATATTATAGAGGGGGAAGACCATTGTGGAGGTGTAATGAAAGGGGTTGGCAGTGGGTTGAAATGGAAGGCAAGAAGGACAGAGTTAAAGATGACACTTCACTAACAAAACCAGCATAAGAGAAGTTCTGGAAGTTAAATTTGAATGCCTCTAGGCTCTTAACAAGTTGTTATGTCCAGTAGAATTTGAAGTGCCTGTGGGATTTGTGAGTGGAACTGGCTGGGAAGCTATTGGAATTGTGAATCTGAAGCTTAGAACATCAAGATGCAGTGAAAGTCTGGGCAGTCACCTATCTAGAAGGGATTGCCAAAGCAGAGCTTTGACATCATGGTCAAGAGTGTAAAGGGCTTAGTATAGTGAAAACAACTTAGTATTTGGAACTAGTACTTGCATTTTTCACTATGGGTTTTTTTTTTTTTTTTTCAATAAAACAGTATCTGTCTTTTTCTAAGATTTATTTATTTATGTCTGAGCTTGGTCTTCACTGCTGCTTGTGGGCTTTCTCTAGTTGAGGTGAGCAGGGACTACTCTTCATTGCAGTGCACAGGCTTCTCATTGTGGAGGCTTCCTATGTTGCTGAGCACAGCCCTAGGCTCGAAGGCTTCAGTAGCCGTGGAGCTCGAGCTTAATTGCTTTGTGGCATGTGGGATCTTCGTGGACCAGGGATCGAACCTGAGTCCTCTGCATTGGAAGCAGAGTCTTAACTATTAGACCACCAGGGAAGCCCCTGTTTTTCATTCTTAATATTCCTCAATAAATGAGGATTAAATGAGAGTTAGATAGTACCTAGAGCCAGACCTCTGGGTTCTTATTCCAGCTTACTAACTGTGTAACCTTGGGCAAATTATATTTAACCCCTCTCTGCTGTAGTTTCCTTACTGCAGAGTGAAAATAATAGTATGAACTTTAAAAGGTTGTCTCATACTGGATAGCATATAAAGTGCCTGAAACAGTGGCTGGCACAGAGTAAACAATTACTGTTAGCTGTATTTGAAAATGCTTTATAAACTGTAAAAATATGGGTCATTAGAAAAGAGGCTTGTCTTTGAAGGAGACCCACCTTTAAGGGATGAAAGGAAGAGAACCTTTATTTTTATTAAATTTTTTGGCTGCACCAACATAGCATGTAGAACTTCCCCAACCAGGGATTGAACCCACGCCCCCTGCAGTGGAAATTCAGAATCTTAACCACTGGACCACCAGGGGAGTCTTTTTTTTTTTTTTTTTTTTTAATTACAAATTTCTTTGGGAGAATTTTTAAAAAGAGGACAGGCTGAATTAGAATCCTGGGATAACCAGGAAATTACTATGTCAAAGAAGTTTTGTTTTTTTTAAATATTTATTTATTTGGCCTCACCTGGGCCCAGTTTGCATTGTGGCAGGTAGGATCTTTAGTTCAGGCATGCGAACTCTTAGTTGCAGCATGTGGGATCTAGTTCCCTGACCAGGGATCGAACCTAGGTCCCATGTCTCGGGAACAGAGTCTTAGCCACTGGACCCCCAGGAAAGTCCCTCAAGGAAGTTTTTATGGGGAGGATGTGATCAGAATTATTGGTGTGATGATGATTTATAAAGGATTTGCCATCTATATCAGTCAGTTACTAGTCATCCCTTCTTCTTGAACTCTTAGAGCCATTTGGTCCATAGTTGTATATTGTTATATTTAATACTGAAGTAATAATAGTTTGTAAAACAATTTACAAGGAGGTTTAATAATCGCATCCACTTCTCACAGCTTTCTTGTGAAGTAGATGCTATCATCTCTATTTGGCAAATGAGGAAATTGAGGCCCAAGTCATAGACTTGCCACCACAGTTAAAAACTTAAAACAGTCTCTTCGATTTAAAAAATGGTAAAAGAAATAGACTGACCTAAGCGGTGGAGCTTGAGTTGCAGTCTAGGTTGTGAGATCCTGAATATCTTTTGATAATCTTGTTTGCTTAACTAGATTGTGAGTATCCTGAGGCCTGAATCTAATCAGTAATTTCTTTTTATCCTGTGTAGCTCACTGCTGAGTGAAGACTGGCCATGGTCAAGAATAACGTGGTCTTTCTCCCCTCTGTCCTCTAGCGCCCTCACAAAGCCAATGCTGAGGAGATGACCAAGTACCACAGTGATGACTACATTAAATTCTTACGCTCCATCCGCCCAGATAACATGTCTGAGTACAGCAAGCAGATGCAGAGATGTAAGTGCATTCTCTTCCCTCTCTACTTTCAAGCCCCCGTTAGGTCTCCCTTCTAGTTGGAGAGACTCACCCTCCCTTCATTTGTATCCCCCAGTCAGGTGACACCCTTCAGGTGACACCATTCAGGTGATACCCCTGCTTCCTAAGGGTACCACAGTGCTTCTTTTGTCTCAGACTGGCTTTGTTTCCTGATTTTGTAAGGAATAGAGACTGAGCATTGTCCAGTTAGGTTCTCAACACCATCCCCTCCAAACCATAATTGTAATGGAGAAAGCAGTGGTCTGGAAGAGGGAGACAGGCGATACAGGTCCCAGCTCTGACTCTTAACTGACTGGGCAAGTCACTTCTTAGATTTTTCTTTTGTAAAGTGGACTAGATGGCATCCCATGCAGCTGTAGCTGCTCTCACTATGTGAGTGTTAGTTGAGAATTTAGCAGCTACTTAGGACAGACTCTAGTTGATGTCATCTTTGAGTTGAGGTGATTCTGCCCCTGCCCGCTGGAACTTGAAACCAGAACAGGTCTCATTTCAGAAGCCACACTCAGCTTGTAGGAATTATGGTGATTGTTTTAGTTGTGGGGAAAAATATGTTCAGATTTGGGAAGAAATTATCATACGTGATTTCTCATTTGTGTTATTTTAGAAATTATCCTGTAACACCTAAGATCTCATAATAAAACAGTGTAATGGTATTGTCTAGAAGAAGTTTTGAATAGTTTATGATAGTTTATTTTGGAATACCAGGAAATCTGTGACACTTTTCTTGTTACTACTGGCCACAAGGTAGTCTGATTCCTAAGGCAGAAATTTATTTGTTACAATAATTGTGCACTGCTAATGATTACAGAACTACAGAGACCTTTTTGGAAGCATTAAGCTTCTTTGCCACCCACAACTCCAGGACCAGCTGCCCCATCTAAGGTATTTACTGTCTAAATTGGCAGGGTCTTATTTTATTTCAGTCTGTCTCAAGGTGAGACAGATTCATTCCTTTGCTCTCGATGCCTTTAAGGGGTTCCGAAACTTATTTAGGCCAGTGATCAGGCTCTGCTCTCAGCAGAGAGGCTCTCATTAGTGAAGCAGCTTGGTATTGCAGCAAAAGAATGAGCTCTGATGTCTTAGTTTGAAATCTGTAGCTCTGCCACTTAGCTGTGTGTTCTTGAGGAAATCCACTAGCCTCTTTGAGCCTTGTTTTCTCCTCTTTAAAAGGAAGACGGTAGTGCCTATTTTATAATGGGGTTTGGGGGGATAAGTAAGATAATGTATTTAAAGCACTGTCAGTGAAAGTAAATAGTAGCTTTTGCTCTTATGACTTACTGCTTTTGTTATTTTCAAATCTTCTGAGGCAGACAACATAGTAGGCCCTTGGGTGTGCACTAGTTTGGTTCTGGCTCCCAGTTTGCTCCACTTTTCCCAAAACCAGCATTCTAAAGTTGTACATTAAAAAATTAGGTCTGAGATTTTCTATCATTGAAAGTGGAGGTAAGAAGGATGAGGCTTTCTAAGGACTTCAGGGTACTTACTGACATGAGTCAGAGAGATGTCACTTAGTGCAGTGCTTTATAACCAGGGGTGTCTACAGAGATAACATCAGGGATGGAGAGCCGAGCTCTTTTTCAGTATTTACTGACACCTAACCTAGGAAGTTGGGCTTTCCTGGTGGCTCAGTGGTAAAGAATCCCCCTGCCAACACAGGGGACCTAGGGTTCAGTCCTTAGGTTGGGAAGGTCCCTTGAGAAGGAAATAGCTGCCCACTCCAGTATTCTCTCCAGGGAAATGCCAAGGACAGGGGAGCTTGGAGGGCTACAGTCCATGGGGTCACAAGAGTCCAACACGACTTAGCAAATAAACCATCACCCTGAACCTGAGACGTTGTACCTCTCATAAGACCAAATACATCAGGTTTCCTTGCTCTTGGCTAGAATGTAATTTAAATGCTTGGTGTTCACTTTGAGACTTTGAGAATCTAAACTAGAAGTTCTGATCTAATATTTAATAATGGGAACATAAATAAGTGCATTTTGGTGGGGGGCAGATAGTCTATCAAACCATGAGGCCCACGGTAGAAACATGATAAAAGGAACTTGTGCTAATAAAATGTGGAGGCAAGCTTTTCCATTTTATAAACCTATAGAGGTGAAATGACTTTCCCAGCAAGACAGTGGTAGAATGGAGAATGGAACTTTAGTTTCCCGACTCTGGAGTGTTGTATTTATTTATTTAGGCTGCGCTGTGCGGCATGTGGGTGGGACTTTAGTTCTTGGACCAGGGATCGAACCCACATCCTCCACATTGGAAGCATGGAGTCTTAACTGCTGGTTGCCAGGGAAGTCCCTGGAATATTTTAAAATATGTTGCAAATAAAATATTTCAGACACACAAAGTATAAAAATAATGTAATGAACATCCATGTTCCTATAATCAGCCTAAGAGAGAAAATATTACCAATATAGTTGAAACCCCCTGGGCATGTCTGTTTGATCACATGCCCTTTTTCTTCTACTCCCCTCTCCACCCCATTTCCACCAGCACCACCACCAAGGAGTAAGCACTATCCTGAAGTCCATGTTTAATCCCATACATCTCTCTCTGCTGTATGTTTTTTACTGCCCTCTCAACATACATCTCTCCCATATCTCTCATATCTCTCACCCAATATTGCTCCCCATCAGTCTAAAGCCAGGCTAAGAATGAGAAAAATATTTATAGTGGAAAGAGAGAAAACCCATAGAAAAGTCCTCCCTAGTCTCACAGATTAGTCCAGGTGAGGGTCTGCTCTCCCAGTTTACCCCTTTTCTGTCTGTAATCACACAGCTCCTGGGAATAATGGACTGGCCATTTGAGCTGCATATTGATGTGGGGCCTGAAGGAATATAGTTTTTCTTATTTCTAAAATACCAGTTTCTTCCCATGGGGTCTCCACATCAAACAGGACTATAAGCAAAGCTTTAGAAACCCAGACAGGCCAAACCCACTGAAGGAGGAAGCCGCCAGAGAGGGAAATCAATTGCCAATGAATAAATAAATAGCCTGGCTTCAGGGATCAAAGTTCTTATTGACACAGCCTCCCAATGTTTACCTGGGAAGTGAGGGAGAGGGCCACCTTATGCTTGCCCCCTTCTGTACACCATCCTTCCTCATAGCACTGTTCTTGGCAGGGCTCCAGATCAGAGCACCCTCCCGAGTTTAGGGCAGTACTGGGGTTGGTAACTCTTGGCTGATGCAAAGCTTGAGCTTCAGCTGTGTCTCAACAGGTCACCACAGTCTAAGCTGGGCTCTCCTACCCACCTCATCCTAGGGCTCTCCCTGTTTGCTTGATTTTTATTGATAATAGTGAGTGCAGTGTGAAGGCTGAGGCAAGAAAACATGGATTTAGCCTCAGCCCTGCCTCTAACTTCTGGGTATCTCAGCAGTTTCCTTTTTTGTGAGAGGAGACTTGGAGCTGTAAAGTTCCTCTCTAGCTCTGAGTCTGTAGACTTCAAATGTGCTTCCCTTCCTGTCTTTTTCATTTTATTTGCATTATTGTTTGCATGTGTTTCCACATTATGTGTTAGTTTGTACTTTTACTCTTTTAAGCCTGAAATAACTTTCCTCCAGTTGTCACTTGTAATAGAAAGAGCACTGAACTGTGGGAGTCAAGACACCTGGACTCTGGTTCTACCACTGCCTGGTTGTATAGCCTTGGGCAAGTCAGTTAACTTCACATCTGTTTGTTCCTCTGCACAGTGGGGTTGATATGGGTCCCTATCCATCTTTTATGGAGTTATGCAGATTCAGTGAGATTGTGTATGTGAAATTACTGGGGAAAAGGCCAGAGTATATTTTCATGGGCTTTTAGGACGGACAGACCAATCCTTGAATACTGCCTCTGCCATTTACTGGCAGTTACCTCTTTGAGCCTGTTTCCCCACTTATAAAACAGGAGCAAATCCTACCTCAGAAAGTTGTGTGAGCATAGATGACACCAGGTATTTAAAGCACTTAGCATGGTGTCTGGCATGTTGTTAAGCATCAGTGGATGATAATAAAGGTCTCTGTTCTTTGCTTCCTTGTTGACCAGCTGGAGTGAGATCCAGGAACAAACCCAGGCTGGAATAAGAGGCTAAATTTTTCTCCCTCAGGAATGAAACAACATTTTCCAAGTACTTACTTGCTGAATGCTTCCCCATGTAAGGTTTCTATTAATCTTCTCAAGAATTAGATGAGGTGGATATCATTATTGCTTATTAAAGATAATAAGCCAAAGCTCAAGGAAGTTAAATGACTGGACCCAGTCCCACAGCCAGTAAGCAGGACAGCCTGGACAAGAACCCAAGCCTTCTGAATCCAAATGCTGTGTTTTTTCCATCAGCTCATCAATATGTAAACAAAACCAAAAGGAAATTGTGGAAACTAACCTTTTCATGTTTTTTCAAGTCAACGTTGGTGAGGACTGTCCAGTATTTGATGGCCTGTTTGAGTTCTGTCAGCTGTCTACTGGTGGCTCTGTGGGTAAGGACTATATACCCTTCATTAAGGACTGTTCTGGGTTGTACCAGTGAGGTCTGTCTTTTAGGCCATTTCCCAGTGTGGATGACCTGTGACCATGTAAAATGGTCCTGTGGGTTTTTACATTAGGTCCTTAAAATGTTACTCTGCTTCAGTCTGAGCCCAGGTTCAATCTGACATGGTACAGATATGTGTCCTTGCCTGTCCTTTCCTACTAAGACATCCTGTATACAGGAACTCCCTGCAGACCTCATGGGGTTGTTGAGATGCTGAACATAAAAGTAATTTGTGAACTGCAAAGTGCTGTAAAAATGGGAAGTGTCATCATCTGTGTCTTACAAAAGAGCATGGTAATTATGTTTAGAGGTCAGAAACACTCCCCATGTATATCCCACTTCCATTAGTAATATCTGTGTTATCTCTGGGAACACCCTACCATTTCTTAACAAATATTTATTTTTCTGTGATCATTGTTTTTTCTCCTCCCCTTTCCCCACCACTTCCCGATATAATCTCAGAAAACAAAGAAGTATACAGAGAAAAAAAATTGACTATAATCACACTGTCCATGGATAAGCCGTCATTATTACCATTTTGGTATTTGTACATCCATGCTTTTTTCTTTGTGCATATATCTGGACAAAACATATATTCATCTATATCTTACAATTTGTTGTATGTGTATAGTTTTGTGCCTCCCTCCTACGCTTTTTACTTATTAAATCTGGTTTTTATTTTTATTTTTGGTCATGCCATGTGGCTTGCAGGATCTTAGTTCCTGGACTAGAGATTGAACTTGGGCCTGTGGCAGTCAAAGTGCTGAGTCTAACCACTGGACTGCCAGGGAAGTCCCTACTTAGTAAATCTTTTTTTTTCCTACTTAGTAAATCTTTAAAATTTATTTGTAATAAAGTTTAGCATGATGTCTAGTGGCTGCATGATTATTCTATGTTATGGAACAACTTCACTTGATATAATTGGTCCACTCAAGTTGCTCTATGTTGGTGTTTTTTTTTTTTTCCACACCACGTAGCTTGAAGGATCTGTCTTAGTTCCCTGGCCAGGGATTGAGCTTGACCCTTTGACAGTGGAAACATGGAGTCCTAACCACCAGACTGCCAGGGAATTTCCTTATGTTTTTGTTGCTGTCAAAGTCATACTGCCACAAAGGCACTTGCACACATGGTGTGTATTTTTCTCTCACTTCTTCTTGGACCTATTTGTACTTCAAGCCTCTGTCTACTACATTTGGTATCTTCAAAATATTTTGGCCATGAACCACAGTAAGAAATACATTTACATTTAAAGTCCAGGTTATAGACGCACTAACGCACACACATCCTCTCTTGCTCTGCAGCTAGTTTCACAAAAGAGTGGTTACCTTTACTGTTATTCTGATATTTTTATTCTGTAGTCTGTCTCATTTAAAATATATATATATACACACTAAACATAGCCCACTAAATCAGTTTTAAGACCTACTAGTGAGTTTTACCACTTTCAGTTTGGAAAACAGTTTTTTTAGAGTAGCCAATATTGTGTTTATTCCCATTGGAGTAGGCAGAGGGAGAGGGCTAGCTGGTGAATTGTACAGTTCAGCTGTTAAATAGGCAGATCCTACCTCTCACTGGGTTCCCATGGTTTTTGGGGGAAAGGAGAGAGCCAAAAAAGAAGAAAAAGGTGGGGGGAGACTTTGTGACAGGCTTGTGTTCTTTCTTCCGGTGCCCAGCAAGTGCCGTGAAACTTAATAAGCAGCAGACGGACATCGCTGTGAATTGGGCTGGGGGCCTACACCATGCAAAGAAGTCCGAGGCATCTGGCTTCTGTTACGTCAATGATATCGTCTTGGCCATCCTGGAACTGCTAAAGTATGCCTGCTTGGCCTTGTCTCTTGGAGGAGCACCTTAGGCCAGGTTCCCACTCCCCTCTCCCCCGGGCTTGCCTCCCTAGTTTGCTTTTCCTAGCGGCGTGCCGGCTAGGATGTGTTTGGTTAGTGTCTCTGGCCATCCTCTCCTTGACGAGGCCTTGATTTGATCTGAGCCCACGGCAAGATCAGGGGCAGGTGCTGCTCAGATCCTGCCTCCAGAATGTCCTTGTGTGGCTGGAGTTGACCCTGGCTGTAGAGTAGGAAGATCGGACTTGGTCGGCTTGGTCAGGCCTCTGGAGACACCCTGCCGCTCTTCCACCTTCCTTCAGCCAGTTTCCACGTCTCTGGTGCTTAGAGATACCTGAGGGAGGCAGCCAGCCCGGTAAGCTGGGACCTGGCGCCCTTGGCGCGTCCCACTCCCAAAGAGCCCCCAGAACCCCCTGACCCCCTTCTGATCCTAGGTATCACCAGAGGGTGCTGTATATTGACATTGATATTCACCACGGCGATGGCGTGGAAGAGGCCTTCTATACCACAGACCGAGTCATGACTGTGTCCTTTCATAAATATGGAGAGTACTTCCCAGGAACTGGGGACCTACGGGTGAGAACTCCCTTCAGGAGCCAACCAGCTCACCCTCAGCTGCCAGCTCTAACTCTCCTATCTCATGTCACCAAAAACCACTTCCTGCCTCTTTTGCCATTCAGAGACCACACACCTGCCACGGTCTCTTTCCCTCTCTTGTTCTGGAGGAAGGGAATGATGGAGCATACAGGTTGTGAGGGATGGGGGCCTCCTGACTCTTTGCACTTCCCTCCTGGCCACAGCTGAGTTGCATTACACTGTTCAGATGTCCCAGACAGCTTGAATTTTAGGCTAGAAATATCAGGTTCTCTCCCACGGGCTAGGAATTGGGAACTTTGTGAACCACCTTAAGGGTTCTTAGTATTTTTAGGTTACCTTCCCCTTTGACCATCTGACTGAAAGCTGCTCTTTCCCCAGAAATGTACATAAAATTTTACATTTGGTACTGAATATTTAATAGACACCTCCTCCTACTGAAGCCCATCCATGGACCTCAGGATAAGAATCCCTGGAAGCTAATTTATTAAAGTCTTCTGCTTGTGTTAGCATGGATACAGTGAAACCACCCACTTTGCCATGCCAGTGGCCCTCGGGTGAAAAAATGGCATTAAGTCAGTTTGCTATGGCAAGCATTAGAATAACTGAGCATTTACAATTTTGAAGAATTCTTCTTCGCTTTCTGCCTCCTTCTACACCTCCCTAGAGTTGAGGGTGGGCGAGTAGAGGAGTGAGCAGTAAAGCATTCTGGAAAAGGGTTGCTGTAGGGTGGGTGTTAATTCTGTGGTCCAGCCCCCAGCCACCTTTAACCCAGTCCAGAGGAAGAGATCTCATGCAGTGGGGGTGGGATATTCAGTCTCTGGCCCCATAAATGGTTCTCAGCCTGGGTGCAGACTCTGGTTTATCCAGAGATGTAAGCTAGAGTTGTCCCGCCAAGAGGGGAATGGTGCTAACTTGCTCTGTCCCTGGCCCACCTCATGGACCCAGCTTCTCTCTCTTAGAACCACTGCCTCTTTCCTTAGCATTCCAGCCCCTATCCTTGAGCTTCCTCCTAGCTTCATCTTTCAGTTTTACTTTAATGTCCTTCTTGATTAGGATATTGGAGCTGGCAAAGGCAAGTATTATGCTGTTAACTACCCTCTCCGAGATGGGATTGACGACGAGTCCTATGAGGCCATTTTCAAGCCGGTAAGTGGCATTTCCACCACTGGGCTATAAATGGGATTGGTCTAAGGGAGGGGTAGCAAAAGCATCTCAGGGATCTCTCCCCACCAAGAGGCTGGCTGGAAATGAGATGGGTGAACCCTGGATTGCATGCTGTATGACTAGTTTGGAGAACAGAATTCTTCCAAGTATATATCTGAATCTGTTATCAACACTGTTGTTACACAGGAATGTCTAAGGCATGATCTGTGTCCTTGAAGACCTCACAGTCCATGGTGTAGTCCATGGTGTGGGAGGCAGGCACATCCCCAACAGCATGTGGTCAGTGCTGTTTTTGAGGCATGAACAGAGGAATGAGAGAAACTGCTGCCTGAGCTGGGGAAAGGATAGTCAGAGGTGATTTCACAAGAGGTGGTGACATTTGAGCAGGACTCAGAAATGAGGAGTTACTCGTGTGACGAAGGCGGGGGCTAGAGGGGAGGGGTGGCAGAGGGAACGGCACCAGCAGAGGCACAGAGGTGCCAATATGTAGCATGTAGGCCTGTATGATTCGGGGAAGGGTGTTGAAAGATGTGGTAGAAAATATTTGTTGGAAAAAAAAAAGAAAATATTTGTTGGGTTAGTATTTCAAAGGGAGCTTTGAAGGCCATGCTGAGGAGTTAAATCTTCACCTGTGAGCAGCAAGGAACCAACCATTACTAGAGTAGTAACCTAGTTAGGTCAGGTAGTAGTTTGGCAAACACCAGGTGCCTGCTATTAATACATACCTAATAGTAAGGGTGACAGAGAAGCCTGAGTTACAGTCTCCGTCCGCAGTCACATTGGAATCTAGTTGTGAGAATGAGATATACGAAAGTTAGGCAGCTCCTTATAGTGTGAGGCTCAAAGTCTGCAGGAGCTAATGCACAGAGCAGATGCAGCTCAGGGTCAGAAGAGCTTCTTGGAGCCAGTGGTCCTGGACCTGGAGAGCAGGGAAGGATGTGGGGAATTGATGAGGAGGCTGTTTTAGGCTCAGCATTACTAGAGCTAGAAGGCTCCTGGAAAACTGAACAAAGTAGGGAAATGGGAAGCCCAGATTGGTGCTCCCTTTTCTCTACTCCTCAGCCCGGGGGAGAGTAGAAAGGTAGGAGTGGTTAATAAGGAACAGAAGAAAGTGCTGTACCCACATTTTTCAGCCTGAACCCCAGATAGGTTTTCTTGAGGGTGGTGGTGACCAGGTTGTATCCTTTCAGGTCATGTCCAAAGTAATGGAGATGTTCCAGCCCAGTGCAGTTGTTTTGCAGTGTGGCTCTGACTCCCTGTCTGGGGATCGGTTAGGCTGCTTCAATTTGACCATCAAAGGTGAGTCCAGGTAGCATAGGGATGGGCAGGCAGGGTCCTGCTGGGTGCTTCTGTAACTTGGCACCCCTTCTCCCACCATAGGGCATGCCAAGTGTGTGGAATTTGTGAAGAGCTTCAACCTGCCTATGCTGATGCTGGGAGGAGGTGGCTATACCATTCGTAATGTCGCCCGGTGCTGGACATATGAAACAGCTGTGGCCCTGGACACGGAGATCCCTAATGGTAATGGCGCCAGGGCCAGGCTGGGCCGGGCAGTGCTGGAGCTCCTGTGTCCTTGAGCTCACACCCTCTTCCCATTGGCTCTGCAGCGTCTTCCTCTTCAGATTCTGATTCTCTTGCTAGCCTCTTGTGATTTTCAGACCATAGCCAACAGTTTTTTTCTGAGTCCTTTAGCTGCCCCTGTCCATTCTCCCTTGACTTCTGAATTATCAGTAGTTATTTATAGCTTTGGAATTCATACTCTATAGGGTAATTGGGGTATGAGTGAGGGAGTACTCAAAATAAGTATTGCCTAAATTTTTCTAAACCAGGGGCTTCAGCCTTCTCCTTATACACAGGCACTGTCACACACACACACAGACACCACTGGTGTGGACACTGGAGAATGGCTGTGGCTTTTAAGCAGTTGAAATTCTATAGGTACCCAAGTCTCACCCCATCCTGAAGGCATGCTTCTGTTTAATAATTGGGCTGACAGGCCCAGATAAACCTGCAAATGCTTTTCTCAGGGTTCCATGGTGGCCAGATCTCTTAACTCTCTCACCCCCCCACCCCAATTAGAGCTTCCATACAACGACTACTTCGAATACTTTGGACCAGATTTCAAACTTCATATCAGTCCTTCCAATATGACTAACCAGAACACTAATGAGTACCTGGAAAAGATCAAGTGAGTATACCCCCACCCCACACACCCCTAATTGAACATTTCAAGCTCAGGTTGGTCCCTGACCAGAGCCCAGCCCGACCTCTGTACCATTGGCCATAGACAGCGACTGTTTGAGAACCTGAGAATGCTGCCCCACGCACCTGGGGTCCAAATGCAGGCCATCCCCGAGGACGCCATTCCAGAGGAGAGTGGCGATGAGGATGAAGAAGACCCTGACAAGCGAATCTCAAGTAAGACCCAGACCCCAGGGGCCTCTCCTTTCCTACTCTGTAGGCTCTTACTTCCCTCCTGTCCTGGCTCCACGTTCTCTCCAAGCTGCCCAGCTGTGGAGAACCCCAAGTGCTCATACCTGTAGGGATAATTTAATTTAGAGTCCAGGTCCCCTTCCCTCAGTGTCTTTTGTGGAAACATGCAGAAAAGCAGTCTTTTCTGAGAGAATCTGCTCTCTCACTGGAATGTTCCATTACCTCCCAGTCTGTTCCTCGGACAAACGAATTGCCTGTGAGGAAGAATTCTCCGACTCTGATGAGGAGGGAGAAGGCGGGCGCAAGAACTCTTCCAACTTCAAGAAAGCCAAGAGAGTCAAAACAGAAGATGAAAAAGAGAAAGATCCAGAAGAGAAGAAAGGTGAGTTTGGCTTGGGCCGGGACTTGGGTCTTGAGCCCCAGGCCCTGGAAGATGAATTTATGTAGCGCACTGGGGTGGGGGTGGGGGTGGGGGGCTGACTTGGCACTGTCAGCCCCTTGGGGTACTCCTTTCTGTGGTTCCCAGAAGTGGCCCACAGAAGAATGAAACTCCATTCGTCATCCTCACTGGCTGACTGAGCCCTGCCAGGTTCCAGAGCCAGGGACATGCCTGGGCTCCCCTTGGTCAGGCGCGGCTCTCACATACCACCCAAGCCCTTTCCCAGTGCTTCACCTGTTTCCCAGGGGGCTGCTTCCACCCACTGGGTTTAGGCTCTAGCAGGCCGGGAAACCGGTCCAACCTGTTTGTTCTCTACAGGTCTAGCTGGGAGGGCTTGGGATGCACTTTTCTCCTGTGTGTGTCCACTGAGCTGTGATGTTGGGAAGGGGTTTCAATGTAAGTGGAGATCCCATGGGTCTTTCAGAGGGGCCGCTCTTGACCATCCCTGCATTCTTATGTTCTAGAAGTCACAGAAGAGGAGAAAACCAAGGAAGAGAAGCAAGAAGCCAAAGGGTGAGGAAAGAACTGCCTGTCTTCTTGCTGGCATTGGAGCACCAGCCCCTTTGTCCCATCACACCAAGAGGGACAGCTGGTCCAGCTTACAAAGGCCTCTTTCAGGGACCAGTCTGTCGTTTCTGCAATTCTAGGCAGAGCTAGGAAGCCCCAGCCTTCAGCAGTCACCTGGGCAGCCAGGGGCCCAAGGGTCATTGTACCCTTCCTTTTTCCAAGGCCTCTAGGGTGGGTTATCTAATGCCAGTCTCTGCTCTCTCCACAGGGTCAAGGAAGAGGTCAAGTTGGCCTGAAGAGACCTCTCCAGTTCTGGCTTCTTGCCAAATCCCCACCTTTATCCCACAACCCTTCAGATTTTATATTTTCTATTTCTCTGTGTATTTATATAAAAATATATTAAATATAAATATCCCCAGGGACTAGACAGGAACCAGGGCCCTGAGGTCAGGGCACACATTAGGTGAGCTTTTCTAGTAGCTGCCTTGCAACCCATCCCTCCCAAACTCTTGAACCCTAATGGGTACTGGGTAAAAGGGATCCGCTTAAGCAGCCATAGGACAAAATCTTGAAGTGCCTGCTTCGTAGCTTTTAAAAGGTGCCCTTACTGAGCATTTGAGAAGGGGTGGCTGGGTCTTCAGGGACTTCCTGTTGTTTTTAGGCTCTTAAGGTAACATTGGCCAGTTTTAGATTGGTTCTGTTCTCATGCCTGCCCTCTCTCTGTCTTCCCCCAATTCTGCAGGTGAAGATTGGTAGTCTAGTTTACTTTTTGAGATACTATATTCATTTTTGTGAGAATCTTTGTAATAAATGGTACATTTCTATACTCTCTTGAGCTCATCTCCACTCTGTAGTATCCCCTGGGTTCACGTCTCTGCCCTTCCGGTGTCCATGAGAACCTGGGCAAGCCTTCAGCGAAACCCCAGACTTACCTGTCTTGATCCCCCCGTCAAAGCTTGAGGTTGGCCAGTCTTCTCACCTTCACCCCCAGAAGACCACTCATGAAAAAGCACCACTAAAGGGACAACATTTATTCCTTTTCCAAATGTTACAGTAAAACCAGGTGGAAGAGAATGGTTTTAGCAGTTAGAAAAAAAAAAAAAGTACAAATCTGGGGTTTGGCCATTAAAAGTTATTTACAACAATGGGAGGGGGAAAAAAAGACAACAAGAAGTTGTTTCACATTACAGACCTCCCGCCCACCCCAAAGCTTAATACTTGCTTACCAAGTCAAAAAAGGAGACACGGGTTGATTCACAAGCTGGAGGTTTGAACTTGAGTAAGACATTTATAAAAACCTAGACAGGGGCAGTGTTCTCCCCAGCCCAGGTGCCACTAGGCACAGCACAGAGACTAAAAACTCAACAGGGGAAGGCTGGACACTCAGGGTTTGGGGGTGTAGGCACCCCCACATCTGGCTCAGGGATTTGGGGAGTAAACAAAACCTACTTGGAAAAGAACTGGGGAAGAAAACCAGCAAATGCCTTCGGCACAGGTGGGGACAGGGAAGGAGGTAGGGCCAAGGGCAGGAGCATTTCACATCACTAACCTAACTTGGGAAAACTGCAAGGGACCATCTTCAACTGGCCTTAAGAGGAAGACCAGATGGATGATGGGAGAATCCACAGGAGGGAGAGAAGGAGAGGGAACGTGGCTAGGGGGCAACAGCCCCTTCCTTTCTGGGCACAGGAAGGCAGCCGGGGCACCAGGTCCAGGCAGTGACCTCACAAGGACAGCACAGTTTTTGCAGCTTAGAGATCACCCACCTGCCCCCACCCAGCTACTCATTCTGCTCGCTGGCCGGTGCAGGGTCACTCTCTGGCCCCGAGGGAGTGGATGGCTCTGCGGCCTGGGGCCCTGCCTCTTCTGCGTCTCCTCCCTTGGCGGCAGCGCTGGCCTCTGCCCCTTTCGCCTGGGGCTCCTGGCTCTCGGGGGTGGCAGCAGCCTTCCCTTCCTGGGCAGTGCCCTCCTCGCCGCAGGCACTGATCTCCCCCTGCTCCTGCTCTTCCTCTGTGGGTGAGGAGGCAGACGAATCACCCCCACCCTCCTTCCGATTTCTCTTGAAGGACAGGCCGCTCAATTTGAAAGGCTTCTTGAAAGAGAATTTCTTCTTCTTCTTGGGGGTCTCCTTGGGGGGGACCTCCCCCTTAGCCTCAGCGCCCTGGCTAGGGGGTGCTGGCTCGATGGCATCACCAGTGGCCCCCGCTGCCTCCTCTGTTCCGTTCACGGGGGGCGATTCCCCTTCACCTTTGGGGGATAAGTCTCCATTGCTTTTCACGTGGCCGTTCTCCTGCAGGGCAGAGAAGACCGCAGTGAGGGTCGGGGCTCTAACTCCCCTCACCCAGCCCACCCAGACATCGGGGTCCCCAGTCATTCCACCGCACCCCCAGAGCCTGGCTGTAGCCTCACCCCCAGCGGCATCCAGTCAAACCTCTCTCTCCTGCCCCGCACAGGGATACAGAGGCCGCGGCCGGCAGGAGGCGCTGGGGTCTTGGGGCCCCCCACCCACCTCTCCCGGGGCGCGCTCTCTATTCCGCGCAGGACAGCCCGAGGCCGCGGATCCCGGACGGGCGGGGGAGCCGTGCAGCCGATATTGGGCGGGAAGCCGCCCCGGGGCGCTGTTCCCTGCACCTGGACGGCCTATTTTCCCAGCCGCCGGCTTTGTGTAAAAGGCCCCCACCCACCGCAGGCTCTCCTCATATCGCGGCTCCTCCCTTAAAAAAGGCATTGGGATATTGAGGTCGGGTCTGCGGGGGGAGTGCCCTCGCCTCCGAGCACCCGCCCCGCGGCCCCCGGGCGCCCCCTTGGCGCGGCCCAGCAGCGCCTTTGTTCCCCGCGCGGCACTCGGGGCGGCCAGGGGGCAGCGCCGGGGGCCGGGGCCGCGAACAAAGAAGGCGGCGGGGCCCGGCCGGCGCCCCCTCCCCGCCCCTCCCCTCGCTTCGCCCGCGGGGGCTGCGGCGCCGAGAACAAAGGGACCGGGCGGGGGAGGGGGCGCCGCGTGTCCCGGGCCGGACAAAGCGCGCGGCCCCGGACCGGGGCCCTAGAGGGGACGAGGTTCGAGAGGAGGGGGCCAGGTCGGGCCGTGCCGAGCGCACCCACCTGTCCGTTGACCTTGGCGGGGGAAGCGCCTGCTGCCTCCTCGGCGGTCACGTCGCCCCGGGGAGCCTTGGAGCTCTGGCTGCCCATGGTGGGGGTTTCTGCTGGGGGGGCGCCCGGAGCCGCCCCGGGCTCGCGCCGCAGGGGATAGTTCGGTCGGGTGGGCCTGGCCGGCGGAGGGGTGGGGCTCGCGTCTGAGGGGGAGGGGTGTCGGGGGGAAACCAAGCTGCACCCCCGCTCCGCGCCCGACCCGCTAGCTGCGCCCACCGCCGCTCCTCTCCGCTCCGCGCCAGAATGCCGCCTGCCGCCCGCCGAGCCTCCTATATATATGCGCCCGGAGCTCGGGGCGGGGCCGGACATTTAAATGAGCGCCCAATCGAGGGGCGGAGGCGGACCCAGGCCGCGGGCCCCACTTGAACGGTGGGCGACGCTGGCGGTCTGGTCCCCCAACCCACTCGGCTCCCGGGGGCAGGTGGGGTTCAGGGCGGGATGCAGGGAGGCGGGTCCCTACGCGAGCTGGGCAGAGAGGGGGCTCCTAGAGGAAAGAGAAGGAAGCAGTCATCCCCTCCTCTCACCGCCCACCTCTCAGGGTGGACGCCCTAGCTCCTGGAGTGGCCCCCATCTTCTTAGTCCCGCATTGGCAAGCCGTGTCAGTCTCCCCCTAGAACTGGTCGAAGGACTCACATGCTCAGACTCGTCAGCCGGCAGGCTCCAGAGAATGTGGTCATGGCAGCCGCAGGGCCCTAGCTGGGTTCTGTGCCCCCTCAGGCCTGGAGATGGGTCTGAGGTCCCGCCCACGTGCTGCCTGCCCCACCAGCCTGGGAGGCCTGCCCGGCCGCAGGGTTAGTCTGGTGAGTCTGGTGAGGTTGTCCCTTGTCCCTCCTGTCAGTCCCTCGGTGGCCAGTCACACTAAGCCCCAACAGACAAGCTCACCTTTTGGTCCATCTTCTCTCAGACCCATGACAAAGTCCCCCCTGGGGGATCTTAGCAGGTATTTCCATCCCCATTAGAAAGCTGAGGAGCCTGAGGCTCAGAGACCTGGACATAACCTGTCTGACTTCAGCCCTCCCTGGTCACATCCGCTCCCCTACATCAGGGTTCCCCCCAAGACAGCAGAGGGAGCCCAGGAAGGGGCTCAACAACCCTTAAAACACTCCAGCTCCTCAGGAGGAGAGGCCTTGGATGGACCCTTGAGCCAGCCCCCAAGCTGCCCAGTCCAGCCTTCATTCAGCCCTGCCTGAGTAGGGGACCCTGGAGACAGGGGCCGGGTGGAGGTGGCTGGAAACTGCAGCTGGAGCCTCCTGCCGCTAGTCCAGGCCAGGGGGAACCCCAGAGTCCTGGCTGGCCCCGGATGTGTGCGTCCAGCTGCTGCCCTCAGCCCCCAGGAGGAAGGAGATGGGGGCTGGCGGAAGCCAAGTGTTGCAAAAGCAAGGCTGTGTGTCCTGGACAGCTCAGCACAGCCCTCCCTTGTTCCCTCCCTCCTACGAGTAAGGTCTCCTGGGAGGCCTGAGGCTGTGAGGTGTGGAGACACCCCAGGGCCTGAGAAATCAGGAACTCCCACAGATCTGACGACAGGGCTGAGATGACTTCTACCTGCAGCGCTCACTCCTGTAGCCTCCACCCCCACCCCTACTCAGAGACTACAGAATACTCTCGGCTTCATTAACGCCGTTTTTCAGAGTGGACACAGATTTGGAAAGGGAAAATGACATGTCCAAGGGTACACAGCAGATACCAGTAACTGAGGGTAAGACAGAATTTGGAGAGACCTGTAAAAAGGGGCTGTGAGCTATAAGGAAAGTCCCGGAAGCAGTCTCTCTGGAGATCTGGGGCTGCCTGGTCAGAGTGGGAGGCAAGAAGAGCCAGCTCCTGGGACGGGAAGGCGCACCATGCCCTACGGCAACTCACTGACAGGACACTGACTTCTCCACCCCTGCCAGTAAGGGATGGACATCGTGACCCGCATTTCTGTCTTGACCACAATAGGGAACCCACAATGCTGCCAGGCGCTGCCAGCTCTGGCTGGCAGGGCTCAGATGAAGGCTGTGTGAATCCTGGAGGGGTTGGAGTCAGAGGTTAAGATCCCAAGGTCCCCAATTTCCAGGCTCTGCTCTGGTGGGGATGAGTGGCGCATCGTTAGGATGATCCCAGGAGGAGAGGGGAGCCATCGAGGGCTAAAGGACCCTAAGTCCCCAGAGCCCCAGAAGGAGGCTGGTCCACAAGGGAGCCCTGCATCCCCCACCAGACATGGAAGGAGGCTGAGGAGGGGGCACCTGAGAGCTGAATCCCTCAGCAAATCCAGGTCCCAGCTGAATTCAGCTTCTGGAAGGGGGAAGAGGCTTGGGATGCTGCGGGGGGTGAGTGGGGGTGGTACAGCAGCCCCCACAGCCCCCTCCATCCACACTGCGGCTCCTTTCTCCCCAGCTGCTGCCAGCCCAGACAATGCGCCCATTGTTCTGTATCTCCAGGGGCCTGTGTGCAACTGTGTGTGTCTGTTTCTCTCTGTGTGTGACTGTGTATTGCTCTGTATCTGTCTGTGTGTGAGAGAGACTTTGTGACTCTGTGTATATGTGTGTGTGTGTGTGTGACCAGGTGTGTACTTTTGTAGCTGTGTGAGTTTGCATCTTTGTTTGGCAGTGTGTATTAAGGATGAGAGAGACAGGCTTGGTGACTCTCGATGACTTTCTGAGGCTTTCTGGGTGTGTGTGCCTGTCTGTCCTTGAGGTTGGGTTGGTGACTGGCTGTGACTGGGTGTGTGACTATGAGTGTATGTGCATAGGAGAGTGGCTACTTTGTGTTTGTGTGAGTGGCTGTGTGTGCCTCCGCGGGTCAGATCGTGGTGATCAGGACCTTTGAGAGTGAGCTTTTGCCAGGACAGAGTGGCAGGGGCAGGAAGAGTGGGGACTGTGAGATGGACAGGGGAAGAGAAGCTGAGAGACTAGAATTTTCCCACATCTTCCATCTGTCCCAGTTCTCCCATAAAGGCTCAGACCCTGGTCCTGGCCTGAGATGCTCCTAGTTCCCATGGACAGAAGGGAATGAATGGGACCCCAGGAGAGCCCTAAAGGAGGGGGAGGGCAAAAGAGAACACCACCTCATAAAGAAGGCTGTGGGGGCATGGGAGGCCTCTGAGGAGGGTCTTGTGATGGAGATCAGGTTAGATGCTAGGTGAGTGGGCAGGAATGGAGGACGGGCCTTCCAAGGGGAGGGACCAGCATATGCCAAGGCCTGGAGAGGGGAAGAGACACCAGAGGACCGCTAGGTCCCAGTGGAGACCTCAAGAATGGTGACTTGGAGCAGCCCATTTCCCAGCCCCAGGGTCCCCATCTCCTTCCAGGGAGGATCACCTGGACCCAAAGACTTTATAGTTCTAGCCCCAGCTCTGCCTTCCTTTAATTGTAAGCCCGTTCTCTCTCCTCTCAGGCCTCAGTTTGCTCATCTGTACAGTGACAGCTTGGCCTCTGTGATTCAAGTGCACAGACTGGAGTTCCTCCTTCTGCTCCTACGTGGCAGAGTGTCAGCTGTGAGTCACACCGGGCCCCTGCCCGCAGGGGTTTCCCATTGGGGAGGCTGGCAATGCCTTAAGAGGAGAAGAAAGAGCTAGAGCAAGGTCAGAGGAGAGACCTGTGGGTTGCATGGAGGAGGGCCCTGTGGGAGGGCCAAGCATTGGAGGAAGAGCTTCCAGTAGCACAAGGGAACAGCAAACGGTCTGTGTGGAGTGGGGGTGAAGGCAGAAGCTTGTTCTAGAGCAAAGTTAAAGAGACAGGGTTCTAGGATCGGGGACTGGCTGGTACAGGGATGGGGTGGGGACATGGGAGTGAAGATTTCTGAGTTTTCTGTTTGGGGTCCATGATCCCATGATTGAGATAGGGAATCAGAGGAAAAATAAAGCTGGCAGGGGGTTGTGGAATTTAACCTTGTTGAGTCTGAGGAGCCCAGGGAAAATTCGGGGGGCCATCCAGGAGGTAGCCTGTACGCTTCAGCACATAGGCATGTGATCATGTTTCCTGAGCCAAAGGCCAAGCCCCAAAGGCCAGACTCTGGCTAGTGACCTTAAAGGGATAACAGACAGAAGGTTTTAAGTCAGAAGTGACCCCAGGAAATCTGGATCTCTGGTTGCTGCTAGTAAGGGGGTGACTGGAGCCAAGCAGTGCATGAGGTCACCCAGGAAGTCCTGGGGCAGTGGGAGCTCTGCCATTAGCCAGGCCAGCAGCAGGAGAGGGCCCCAGGGAGGGAGTCAATGGGAGGGGAAGGACAAACCCTAGAGCACAGAAGCATGGGGATCCTTGAGCACTCGGGAGAGTTTTGAAAAGGTAGGGATGACCAACGGTAATAATCATAGCTGCTACCAATGCATGCCTGCTATACCACGTTACTGCGTGACCAGCGTTCCCCTTTATAGAGGTGGACGCTGAAGCCCAGCCAGGTGGAGTGTTCATTAAGCAGAAGAGGAGGAGGTCAGGTCTAAGAGAAAGTGGTTTCCAGGCCCTCTGAGGAGCAGCCTCCACAAAGGGTCCGGCGGCTTCTGGTTTGGGAGGAGCCCTTAGGGACGTCAGCAGGGAGAGCATGGCAGCTGCAGGACCGGGATCCCTGGAACTGGACTCCCCAGCACCCTGGGTTCTGGCTGGGTTGTCAGCAGGCCAGTCCTGGGCCTGGAACCTGAGTCTGGATACTGGGCACCTCAGGGACCCTTCCCTGACCCACCATCCTGCCAGTCACCACATCACAGAGACAAGGGATCTGGAAAGTTGCTTTTCAGGATTTTAGGCCACTCAGCCCTTTTATTCCTCCCTTTCGCTCCCTCTTCCCCTGGTGTGTGTGTGTGTGTGTGTGTGTGTTGGCAGTGGTTGTGCAAACTGGATAAGATCCAGCCACTATCTAATAGAGTTGTCTCTCTGGGGCTCAATTTCTCCAATAGCTAAGAGGTGTGTAATCCCAGCTCACCTGCCTATCTCCCCCAGGCTCAATGAGGTCACCAGAAATTCAACCCAGTTCTGGGTTGCCCTTGGCCTCTCCCTTGCCCCTGCCCCTCCCCCTTTCCCAACTTTCAGTTTCTTTTTAGATCCTCAGGTGCCTTTGTGGCGAAGAGT